AAAAAAAAAAAAAAAAAAAAAAGAGGCCCGCCGTGGCCAGGTGGTTAGGGCGCTCGACTCGCAATCTACGGGTCGCGGGTTCAAATCCCCATCTCATCAAACGTGCTCGCTGTGGGGGCGTTATAATATGACGGTATATCCCACTGTTCGTTAATAAAAGAGTAGCCCAAGAGTTGGCGGTGGGTGATGATGACTAGCTGCCTTCCCTCTTGTCTTTCACTGCTAACGCGGCTAGCGCAAATGCCCTCGTGTAGATTTGTGCGAACTTCCAAACAAACAAACAAAACCATCAAAAAGATTGTTTGATCAATAAGTAGTTTTTTCACCATATTAACATGTAAAACTCTTTGATCTTATCAGCATATTGTGATTTTCCAAAGTAGTTTCACTCACTGTTTCTTAACAATCTCGACATATCAGTTTTAACTATGACTTTATTTATCTAAATATATGTAGGAACTAACTGGATAATGTTCTTTTTTATGACATACAGGGAAAATATTAAAACTCAAAAGTTACTCCAGTTGAAAAAACACTAAATTTATAAACGATGATCATATTTAGAATTAACTTGAATTTTAACAACAAAACTCTTTACCAAAATAATTTACAGCAGTTGGTTTGAATACGTGAAAGACAAATTTTGACCTTAATTTCTCTAGCAACGGTGGCTATTTCATTGATAAATCCAGCCAACAGAAAAAGATCTCAGTAACAAGATTAACGTAGTATGCATCAAATACGAGTTTCCTATAAAGAAATAAATGAACATTATTACAAGCCTTTGAGGCCAAAGACTTAAGATAATAGTAATAATACGCCAACCAGTTTCAGGAAGAAAAGTTTAATTAATATTAGAATGTATATAAATATAATAGTACTATCTGTTATGTGTCCATATAACTAGCCCCCCAGTGGCACAGCGGTATGTCTGCGGATTTACAACGCTAGAATCCGGGTTTCGATACCCGTGGTGGGCAGAACACAGATAGCCCATTATGTAACTTTGTGCTTAATTACAAACAAACAAACCATGTAACTACTTCGCAGGGTGTGGATGGATTTTCACCAACATTGGTATGGAGGTTCATTGGGTCCATGGGGAGATACTCACAAATTTCAAGTATTGCATTTTTACCACTACTTCGCCCCCTGTTGATGGATCTTCACCAAATTTGACATGAAGGTTTGTTGGGTCCATGTGCGGAGATACATGCAAAATTGCGGTTTCACATTTTGTGTTTTGCAGTTTTTATGAGCGTTTCGTAAAATTACATACAAGGGAAGCAACTTTTCATGTCCTAAAATAACCTTTCATTGATTATGAATTTACATAACTTCCATCCAGGAGACGGGTACTCCAGCTAACACGTAATATATATGGGATAAAACAAACCTATGTAGTAACCCATCGTTCGTGCCATCTAGCGGTAGAAAGTATAATGTTACATCGAATTTAAATATGATGTAACAAACCTCACAACTTAAATTTTGATTGAATATAACTCTTTTTTTTTGTCTCCTAACAACGGCTCTTACAATACCGAGTATGTTTTTTTCAGCTGTTTTATAAGTTGATATGAGAATATAAAACTCAATAAATAGAATAAAAATGTACAGTAAATATATTATAATTCATACTTGTCAGATTATTATATGTGTTGGTCGTAGGGGTATAATGAAGTAGCTGTTGCAATTTAAACAAGTTTAAAACAACGTACAGCTTTTATCTGAGAGATAAGCGCACTGTATTCCATACAAAAACAAGGATATTCTTTATACTTAATATCATATCTGTCTACTAATATTGGTAACCTTTAAGTTGGGTTAAGAATTTTATATTATGAAATACAATTCCATGTAATTACAGTAAACAATGTTTCTTCTGAGTTTCATAACATATAACTTTTTGATGAACTTGAAATATTCTCTCTAATTTTTATGTATTAAAGATGTCCATGAGTTTCGTATTATACTGTACTTAACAAATATACCTGAACACATAAGCGATACCACATACGATTTATCTCCTTTATTAACTTACGTTAACACGTAGATCAAAGGACATTATCAAAACTATTTAAGAACCACATTCCAATATTCTCCGTTTTTAAAGTCAATTTCCAGAGAGTTGGTTACTGAACAGCCAGTTATCAATATCTAATGATACAATGCTTACTAATCGATACTAACGTTCAAGTGTATTTTTAATTAATAATCAATTATGAGTTAAAAATTCACTTAAACGTTAGTATCGATTGTAGTAGTACATGTTAAACTTATGAAATTATGCTATTGTCGTGAACTCATCTTGCATACAAATAACTTTCTAGTTTGTTTATATTCTGGGTTCTACGACTCAACTCGAGCACTGCGTCTGTGAAAACTACCTTTGAGCAGTTTACTATGAAAATAGTTTGGATAACGATTTACTTCATAACTGTCAGCCTAGTAATAACGTCAACGAAGTTTCTGCTGTTCGGTGATTGAATCTTTTACCTTTTCTCCTCTGTGTTTCCCGACTTCCAATTTATCGCATATCTAGTTGTCTTGTTGTCGTCCGTGTAATTTTCTTGTAACCTTTAGATTTGTTATTTCAACATAAAAATAACATAGTTGTAAGACTAAACAATGCTACTTTACTTCACAATTGAGTTTGCTCTACTACTTTAAAATTATTTTACACATTAGAACACCTCTAGATCGTCAACTCTTGCATTGAAGTTACTGATGAACGAAAAAAAAAAGTCCCGGACTGTAAACGAAACCTATAAATCGTCATCCGAAAATAAAACAAAGCTAATCAAAACTATCTTTAAAATCTGGAAAACTTCAAGTTGCTGGCGCCACGACGTTTATGACGGATAATAAAATCCAGAGATCAGTGAAAGGTAGGTACTTTTACACTTGAATTATTTATTTAGTTCTCTCTTACTGCGTTCGCCTTCTCAAGAAAACAGTGAACACCTCATCATTTCTTTTTGCCTGCACATTTTATTTATTATTCAACCATATACAGTTCAAGAGAAAAACGAAATCATTAAAGCACTTATTTATTTTTATTTCACATAAACTTTTAAGTTCAATTTAAACTTTCTTCGTGATTTAACATTTAATCCCAGTCTTCCCGATCTGTAACGGAAGTAGATCCACGTTTTAGACGAAAGTCGAGTCTTGTTTATTACATTAGTAATAATAAAAAAAATTTAAAAAACGAATATCACAAGTGCATTTAAAGTGATAACATGAGGTTTACAAAAAATACATTGCTCATGTTTAAAACAACAATAACAACAAACGTTTATATAGGGGGTAATAGGATGAACCATATTAGAACTATTTAAAAAAAACTACTCAGTTAGTACTAACTGAACGTAACTTTTCAATACCTCTAGGCTCTATCTCATATTCAGGAATAAAGATGTTATTAATGAGGGTATGTCTACACAATACCTAAACGTTAATTCATTTCTTCTGCTCGTGAGTTTAATGCAGTAACATGTGCAATGTAAATCATTTCCTTTAAATATATGTTTTACATATATCTTTCAAATTATAAAAATGGGAATGTATAGCTATAGAAAAACTAAAAAAAAAGAAATATATTTTAAAGTCTGTGAGCCAACGAAACCGAATTTGAAAGTATTGGGTGGGCTACAGAGGGGTGTCATGGTTTCCTATATTCAACTTGGACTCCAAAATATACTCTGACAAAGGGCTCGATCTGTTAACGTACAAAAAAAAAACTTTACTGCCAAAATAACTCACCTCTTAAAGGTGTTTGGCCACGAAGATGCGGAGTTTAGGGGGTTTTCGGACAATGTTTCTCTTGCACAAAATAGTAAAATTGCTCATGTTCAGGCAGGTACCACACTTACCTTACAGAGGAAAGTAAGCTTCGTTGGACTTCCTCGTCCATCCCTATCGATGGAACGCGCGAAAACCGCTGTGAAAACAGATTTAAAGAGGTGAGGAACCACATCTTGTACTACGAAACGTGTGTGGCCATAACCGTGTTTTGTGTGGGATTCAGGATTGGGTTATGGGTTTTACTCCCTCATAGTCTAGAGATTAGTGAAGAAAAAAAATTACACTCAAACATCACCCGAAGTGCATTCAAATTGATAACACGAGGTTTACAAAAAATATATATATTGGTCATGTTTCAAGAAGAAAAAATCGTTGGAAATTCAGATTCCACATATGGCTCAAATTTCTCTTTATAATGTAAAACAAGAGTAGCAGAAATCTTTGCTAGGGAATCAACCCACCAAACAACCCCTGCCTTGAAGATTAGGTGTTATATACAAGTAATAAATGGCATTTACTCACCAATATAAATACATATTACTCACATACTGTAAAATGTACGTCTTTAATACATAAAAGGATAAATACAACAAGTCCAGTATGATAGGTAAACATTTGAAATAACAAGTAAACTTTATTGAATATACAAATAAACCGTGCAGCTTACTAACTTAAAAAATAAAATAAATATATATAAAGACTTATAGTACACATTTGAATGACAGGAAAACAAAAAACTTCATATTTGCTGTTATCAATGTCTGCTTAGCCCTAAACCACTTTGTTAATCACCGAGATGAAGAAAAGTTTCAATTGTTAAGCATGAAGACTAAATACTACCAATGTAAATATGGATATTATTCATATAACTTTATAGAACCAATAGGAACTTACTATTAATACAAAAAAAAATAATTTAAAAATATTAAGCGTTCATGAATTAGAAAGTTATTAGAACACAGAATTAACTTTATATTTATACTGTACTTTCACATAACTTACCCTCCTATAGTTTATAGTAGCAATACTGTTTCAATGAGAAATTTCTATTAATATTTTTCACTTTTAAGGTTGGTATAATTTAATGTGGTAGTTATTTACAGTAATGATTGAACGTGATTTATCACTGCAGATAAATAAATGAAATGTCTGATATTTAACGTTCAAGCCAGGAGTGTATATGAAGCGTTATTAATGTTTGTGTAGATAATTCCTTTTGTTATTAAGTTACACGTATATTTATAACATTCATAGAGGTTAATCTTAAAGTACACCAATTACCTACAGATTAATTAGCACCACTTCATGATATATATGTCTCATTACATATATAGTTTTTAACTTTCTTCCTCTTCACTCTACACATCATTCAATGTGATGGATATTCAACAGTTATCTCAACCTACTGAATTTGATGTTATAAATACTTACTAAATCTTATTGCTCACTACTTTCCCCAAACTTAATTATAGCTGCATATTCATTTTTAAAATATATGAACACAAACAGAGCAAAATTATAGTGATTCACATGTAAACTATACAGTTATTTATGTTTCATAGAGGCAACTTTACTTTCCTGAACTTAACTGAAACTTGATAAGCAATACTTCCCAATAGTAAGTTGTAAGTACTTCCTAGTGTTTGTAGAGTTCATATTTCAGAAGTTTTACTTACATATTATAATTATGAAACTGGCAAAGCCTTATCCCTATTAAGGTACCAGGTGTAATGGAACATCACTACATGACCAAAATGGATAAAATGTTCATCAAATGCAGAAAAATCACTTGCAATCAATGATATATGAAACGGTAGTCAATGGCAATGATATTTTGTTCTTCTAATTTTGATGATAAAGTTATTTATAAACTGCCATAAGTTGTGAAATGAGCCTTGAGTGCCAATTTTTATTCTTTTTCAAAATTAACAAACGTATCATGAAATTGAAACATTTGAAACTTTTTTCATGTACATGACAATATACTTTAACAATAATGCTTGTAGACGGCTTGAATGGGTAATGAAGAAAAACTTTAATATAAGTTTAACATAACAGCAAATGTACAACGTTTTGACAAGGTTTTGTCGTTGGTACCTGATGATGACAAAACCTTGTCGAAACGTTGTACATTTGCTGTTATGTTAAACTTATATTAAAACTTTTCTTCATTACCCATTCAAGCCATCTCCAACCATTATTAGTCTCAAAGTGGGTTCCTCATCATCGAATAGTTTAACAATATATGGATAAAAAAAGATGTAACTCTATAAATTGTTAAAGTATCATGAATGGATACAATATTTTAATATTATTTGCACTTTTAAAAATGAGGTGCCTTCATCATGTTGAGAAAATGTTTTTTGTTCAATTTCATACAAAGCTACTCAAGTGCCATCAGCACTAGCCAATCCCTAATTTTGAAGTGATACATTAGAGAGAAGGTGGCTAGTCAACACCATCAACCGTCAACTCTTTCCCAACAAATAGTGAGATTGACCACCAGATTATAACTCCCTCAAGGCTGAAAGAACAAGTATGTTCAGCAAAGAGATTTGATTCTGCAATCTACAGATAATGAGTCAAGCATCCTAACTACTAAGCCATATAACACATAATCATTCTAATTGTGCAAAAGCTGTCAAACATATAAGTTTAACTTTACTGACAAAAAAACAGCAATAACAGTTTTACACGGACAGCAAGTAAATGAACCAGTAAATATTTCACAATTATTAGTATAATTAAACCTGACAAAAAAAACAAAAATTTCTTGTGCGATTTTTTTTTTCACTTGAATGAAATATCATTCCTTTGATAAGTATAACAAAGTTTACTAGGGAATTATAAAAGCTAAACTCTGAATGTTTTTGATATGTTTAAGACCATCTTAAGCAGATCCATATTCTTGCTGCCAAGCTGCATATTTGTCTGCCAATCCACGTGCTGAAGGTTTAGTTTTTGATATGGCATCCAATACATCAGGTGTTTTAACAGCTTCCAATGTCACAGTAGGGAGAGGATGATCTAAGGCAAGAAAATGACACAAAAATACTAATGAAACATTTCAAAAATTAATTAAGACTATAACTGTTTAGGATTCTGTAAATTTGACTAGTTTTTCAATCACATGAAATGGATAACATACATCTAATTAGATTTTCATGAAAGTCAGGCTATAGAGTCTATTTACACATGCACACAAATAAGCTACATTACTACATAATATTTTCAATTCCATTATATCCATCAATTTCCAAAACTTCATTCACATGTTAAATCCAAATTAATATGAATTTTGGCTAAAAGTATGCACACTTTGAAAACAAATCAATACACACATAAAGACATAAAAAGAATGATTATGGATGTTTCGGGAATATGTAATGTTAGCCTAGAGAAATTTAAGTAGTGTCAGAATAGAATTTTTAGTTGATCCAAACTAAAAAATATATATATCAGAACTAAAAACTGGAAAGCTATTAAGTAATTAACCATGTAGTTTTATTGTTAACCAAAGTTTTTTCATCTTTGATTGTAATACTCCTGGCAAATTTTTCTGCCTGGTGTGAAAAATGTCCTATGGATTATTACTGAAGTGAAAGGAGTAGACAGTATAACATTTTCCATAAGGGTTTTTGAATAGTATAAACCAAAAATGTTTACACTATGCACCAAAAATGTATACATGTCACAAGCTTCACCTATACATGTAGGATCTCATAAAACACAGGTTTAACTGTATATTCTACCGTTTTCTGAATACAGTTACCACTGTAGAATTACAAAACATTTGTTAACTAAGCACGAAGATGGATTGAAGGAAAATGTTAAAAGCTGAGATTTAAGTGCAGGTTTAACTGTATGCTACCCTTTTTCTTTATGCAGTTACCACTGGAGAATTGCAAAGCATATGTTAACTAATAATGGCTGGAGACGGCTTGAATGGGTAATGAAGAAAAACTTTAATACAACAGCAAATGTACAACGTGGTACCTGATGATGACAAAACTTTGTC